GCTTTCCGCGCTTGTTCCTTCCTCTTCCCTCCGTGTTTCTGTTTCTTTTCTTCTTTCTTTCACCTCTTTTTCTTTTCTTCTTTCTTTCTCCTCCATATTTGTTTCCTTCGATTCTGTTGTCTTCTCTGTTTCCTGTGCTGCAGTTTGAGCTAGTTCCATCTAGATATAAATAATTTTCATAATGTAATGTAACTAAAAATTACTTACTTTTTCAATACCTTCGCGTATGTGTATAACTCCGTCCATGATCAATTTGCAATTGCTGGATCGACGATCTATTCCGCGATTCGCAATTATGCATCCCACCACTGTCCCTCAGTTCCACCACCATCTCTCATTACGGGTAGGAATATTACATCATAGTATGCTCTGCAAAATGCGTTCTCCTTCTCTTATTTTCTTTCTCGGTTTTTTCGCGTCTATGTTCATATCTCTTGACCGTTATACTTGCCTTACCGCACTGACCTATTCCAGTGTCGCGTGGCGAAGCAGGTGGTGGGAGAATCTGTCTCAGGGCGTTGACCCCAGAAGACGGATCAGCTGTTACACGTCGCTGCTTGGCCCGCGTTCTTTATTTACGAAGTATCTGCAACAGATAAAATAATATAAATATATAATTATTATTGCTCATATTATATCGACTATTGTTTAAAATTTTATTTTGTGGAATCTGCAGCTTATTTTTTACCAAAGACCTGTATTAATTAAAACTAAATCCTACATTTTGTTTGAAAAGCACACATTATTTGCAACGCACGAGAAGGTGGTGGGCTTCTTCCATCATGATGGGATGAAATGAAACAGAAAAGATAAGATAATTATAATTTCAATCCGTGACCAAGTCAACAGGCGCACACCAACCAGGGGCGTGCGGGCCGGCGTCTGTAACCGCACTTTATAGCGCAATCCGACGCCGGATCGTTGCAACGTCTTCGTTACTTTCTGTAAGACCTTTTTCGCTTTTTCAAGCGCTCTCTTTCATCCATTATAAATTGGGGTTATCTAATGGATATACCCCTGTTATACCGGCTGTCCACATATGCCGGTAGCATGCACTCACAATCAGTGTAAAACTGAATCAATTTGCTTCCATCTGATTCTTCCAGAACACGTCGTCTCTTTCGACGGTAACGCATTTTATTCCTCTCTTTGTCCAAATGCAAAATATGCAATATGATGTGCCTGTTACGTGCAGCTGACCTTGCACTTGGTAGTAGTATTGATGGGTTTTATTTAGCGCAGTACCCACATCATTTTCAAATATCCGCCGGATAGATGGAATTGTCTTGATTGCCTCCTCTGGCAACAAATTCTCTGCTGTCTTCGGGCACTTTATTTCCACTATACCCTCTTTATCGATGATACTATCCGGTTCCGCATTCTTTAATACCTTTTCCTGTATATTTCTTCAATTCTTCACGGGCAATTTCTTCGCACTCTTGCCCGTATTTAATTGCAGATACATTAATGATTTTTGGATATATCAATCTTTTCACCAAGTTACCACACAATGTTCCACTTCTTCGGCGGGACACACTTGCGAAATTCGATGCCGTTAGAAGTTTCGATTTGTACGTGTACCATCGCGGATTTTTCGATTGTCCGATCGTTTCTATTTGAATGGAATCCTTCTTTTCTTGCCAATTACGTAGCATTTCCATATGTTTTTCTTGCTGCAACTTGTAAATATTTATATCCATGTCGGGTTTTGCAGCGTTTTCTCCATAATCAGCATCTTTTTCAGAGTGGAATTGTTTCCGTACTCGTGTTGGCTGAAGTACACATTTCCTTTATCAACTGATATACTCCCATACTCTTCAACTGCGGGACGATGTTTGTTTCATTCGCTTTGCTTTTTCCATCGCAGAAGTAATTTATTTTATTACATTCTACATGTTCGCCAAACACGTGGCTTGGCACATTATAAATGTCACAGTATAAATTTCTAATTTTTGTAGAGGTCGATAAACTTTCGTTGCTTCTATATCGTGCGGCTTTCACAATTGCCGTTCGCATTCGCCGAATGCTGTTTTCCACAGCTTTCCTGAATGTACCTGCTGTTGTCTTTTTAACACTTTGACTGCCATGTTGGTCATATATGACCGGCAACGG